AGCAAGTCGAATGAACTTCTCTGCCAGGTCGAGATCGGACCAGACAGAGAGGGGGCCAATGTTTGGGGAAGAGAATACCCTGGACACGTGGAGGACCCCTATTGGTGCTCCAAGATGACTCATGAGTCATGCCCAGCTCGGATAGCCGAGATGACCACCACTAACGTCGACAAATGCTAAGTATGAGGGCCGAGGTGAACCTGGCCGAGGTCCGACCTACCGGGGAGCTCGGTAGGGGCCGATGTGAGCAACTGTCAGCGGCGTGATTATCGGGTGTAACCGTCGGTCCCGAGATTACCGGGTGTAACCGACGCGAGATTAGCGGGACTACCACCCATAAGTAGAGGGCCTCACTCCACGATCAGGTACGATGATTTCTGACCTCGAACTAAACTGGGAATCCGACCTATACTGACTTGATCGTCGGAGTGCTCACCTTTTTGTGCAGGTCCGCCCAAGTATTCAGGTCGATCCGAAGGCCGAGTTCAAGCTGCAATCTGGAATACACTGTTGTGCATATCCTTGCATAAACATTATTATTATTATTATTATTATTATTATTATTATTATTATTTGATCGCTCTATCATTGCAATTATTGGAGCATTTCATTAAAGCTTTGTAGGACGGCACTCCATTCGGAGGTTAAAAAAGAAAAAGGAACTCCACTATCATTCATTAAATAATTCTTGGGAAAAAAATCATAAATTTTTTATTGAAATATATGATTGCGTGTTTATAATTTGGTTTCCAACTGTGAATCCGAGCATTAATTCATTAAAAAAATGTTCCAAACTTTAATATTGTTTAAATCAAATTCATATTAAACAGCAAAGAAAAAAAAATCAAATTCACATAAAATAATATTTTTAAATGTCATAGAAAGAAAGTATTGTTATGTTAGTCTAGTAGCTTTATTTATACTCCGTTAACATGAAAATATCTACTAATTTCTTTAAAATTAAAAGTTTAAATCCATACACTCCTACTAAAAATAAAATTATTTACACCCTAAAAAACATGGTCAACTAACAAGTAATTAGGAAATTTTACGTACTTTTTTTTTTACTTAAGTAGGAGTTGTACTTACTAGTTAGTAGGTAGAAGCTCATTTTGTCATGCCTCATAGATCGATTACAAGATCAATAGCTAGGAAGCTTCAACAAGCCTTACTACTTCGTGTTCGAGCATTCATGAACTAGACAAGAGAATTAAAGGAAGATGTGTAAGATGTTGGAACAATTCACTCCAATTTGGTGCAAGTTATGCATTTATAAATACTTTTAAGGCAAGTCAAAGTCAACTTGGTCAAGGTCAAAATTAGCTCTATAAAGACAAGTCAAACTCAACTCATTCAATTCAAAAACCAAGTCAAACACTCATATCCGTCATTATGGATGGGATTAAACTTATTTTTGTTGGCTTTCCATTTTCTTAGCTTTTTTATTTGCTTGAATTTATTTAAGTTATGTCTTTTCATTTGCAAGTTTTTTTATTTCTAGAAAGTTACGTCTTTTTTTTTTTTTGTAAGTTATAAGTCTTTTTATTTGCTTAATACTTTTCATATGCCTTGAGGTTTCTTGTTGTAGATACAATTTGAAGTTGAATGAAAGGTGAGTTTTCTCATTAGCTTGGTTGAAAGCTTTATCTCTCATATATTGTACAATTTCTTGTGTCTTTAGATATTGCGTGAGCGGAATCACTCCACAAGAAGTATGAGACGGGTTTTCTCTACTCTTAATATTGATCATTAAGGTAATTCGTTCTTAAACTTTTCCTTGGGTCAGATTCCGTAAATATTTTTGAGGTTTTTGAGATTCAGTTCTACAAGTCTTGTTTGTTAGCAAGGTTCTTAGGTCAACTCTCCATGATTTCGTAACAAATGAACTCCATTTATTTGAAATCCCATTTATTTGCAAGTAGACAAATTTTAGATACGCTAAATATATGTTTTGTTTCTATTGTTTAAAGTTTTCAATTCAGTACTTTATATTTTAATATCTTTGAATTTTGTTTGAAGGAAATTTTAATATCTCTGAATTATACTCTTTCTATTGGTAAATATTAAAAAAAGAAAAGATGGATATCTATCCTAAGCTTGACAAGGTTTATCAATTTTTACCTTACATTTTCAATTTCATTAAATTGTGTCTTAATTTGGATAAGTGTTGGAATCTTTACTTTAAAATTTAAAAAATGTTGCAATTTTTATCATATTTTAAATTATAAATCTGTAGAATCATGTTCGTCTAATGAATTATAAAATATATATTTGATATCAGATTGATATCATTAAAGCAAAAAGTGACAAAAGAGCTCATTTTTATTTTTTAATTTCGTCAGAATCTTGATTTCATTAAATTAGTGAGGGTTTTTGGAAGACTTTTTTTGTTCTGTCAAAAATAGTGAGTGAGTTAGTGGAAATGGAAGAGATGTAAAAAATTGCCACACATATCAAAATTCAAGGTTTGATTGATAAAATTAAAAGACTACGGTCAAAATTGATATAATTTGACAAGTTTAAGGTAAAGTTTTGTTTGATTAAAAAAAGGGTAAATCTAAGGTTTTGTTATTTTCCAACATTAAAATTAGTTTCTCTTAAAAAACATTAAAATTAGTTGATGATTTGTAAGTAAACAGAAATTTAGGGCAAAGAGATAAATTATAATTATTTTATTATTTTATCTTGGCACATGAACGGCACAAAACACAAAACATTCGTCTTTTTAAATAATTATTAAATTTCACGAGGGAACAGACGCGTCTTCACGAGTCTCAATTGTACAGAAATCAGCGACTGGCTGAACCAGTAATCTTCTGCCATGTAACGACTAGTTTACCCGTGATAGCCGGTCCACAGTCCCAACGGTCACTTTTTCCGTTTTCGTCTTCTTCTGTAGTTTTGGGACAACTTATAACGTTCAGTTCTTTAATTAAAAACCTTCCTTATATATTCCGCCATCCAGATTTGAACATCATTCCGATCTTACTTTTTTAACTTCATTTTCCGACCGCCGGCGACAAATCGGAGAAAGTTACGGCGAAGATCATGGAGAAGCTTGCTTGGCTAACTGTTCTGGTTTTGTTTGCGCCGTTCACCGGCGTCGTTCTGGCTTACGATGCGCCGGCTCCCTCCCCAAAGCCCACTAAAACTCCGCATTCTCCGCCGCCGGTTCATTCTCCGGCGGTTTCGCGGCCGAGCCACTCAGCGTCCCCGTCGAAGTCTCCGGCTGCTTCTCCGCCGGCGACCACTCCAACAATTTCTCCGGCCTTGTCGACCCCGCCGGCAGCATCGCCGGAAGCTCCGGCTGCGGCACCGGCTTCTTCTCCGGTGGCGAGTCCAGTGGGAAGTGAAGTTTCTCCGGTTTCGTCGCCGCCGTCTCCTCCGCCATCGGTCGCTTCTCCGGTGAGTACTCCGGCGACTACTCCGGCTGGGTCTCCGCCAGAACCTGAAATTCCGGCAAATCCAATCACGGGAGGAAGTCCGGTTGAGACACCGTCGATATTCCCTTCGAGCAGCAGCCCGCCAATGTCGTCGCCGGGGAGCCTTGCGCCGGAAACTGCAGAGCGGCCGGGAAACGATGCGTCGGCGTCGGAGTGGAAGTACAAGATCGGGGCGGAGGTTATTCTGAGTGGGATCTCTATTTGGGCCGCATGGGCCTTCTGAAATTGGGCCCAAATGTTCAATTTGGCAGCTGTTTTTTGAACAATTATTGGAATTAATTATATTCTTTTTCTTTCTGACAGAATGCTGGGCCTCCTTTTATTCAATATTTATGTATGAATACAATATTTTTGTATAATGGCTAAATGCACTAAAGTAACCATAATTTTAAGTTGATTCTCAACAATCTTGTAAAATTCTTAATTTTTTACTCTTAATGTGTTAAAAATTCTAAAGTATAGGTCTTTCTAAAAAAAAGAATTGTAATTTTTAACAAAAAGTAATGTATTATTATGTTTTTTTTTATTTATTGATATTTTAGGCATGTACCAATTTTGGACATGCCACTTTCAAGAAATGTTATGTTTTTCATGGTTGGATTTTATTTTATGGGAAATTTTGAGCTTCATGTATCAAATAGTAGCAATGGAGTAGAAATACGTGTGTCTAAATATGAATAAAATAATGGCTAAATGATTCATTAATTTTTTATTATCAAATTTTATAACTTTTTTTTATAGATTTAATTCAAAAATTTTATAATTTTTTTATAGAATTAATTCAAAAATTTTAATACCTTAAAATATAAATTTGATAATTAGGTTCCTTTAATACCATTTTCGTTTTTGGTTTTTGGTTTTATTTGTTTTTGGTTTTTAGTTTTCTGTTTTTAAAAAACAAAAACCATATAATATGTTTGATAACTGGTTTTCAATTTTTAAAAAGTTAGAAAATTGGAAATATATATTAGAGAGAAAATTCTATCCACATAGAGATGACAATAGCGTGGGGCGGGATTGAAGATATGCTTCCCCATTCTCGTGCTCGTAAAATTTTTTAGTCCACCTCACCTTGTTCTTCGGTTCGGGAATCCAGAACCATGTTAAAGAATCGTTATTTTGAGATGGGGATATTCGGGAAAAAAATTACCGGTTTTGTAATTAATTTTAATTATTTTTAGAATTTTATAGAAAGTGTAATAAATATATATGAATTATTTTTAGAATTATTATTTACAATTATAAATAATTAGTTTTAAAAAAATTAATATTTTATTCACAACTTAGTAAATATGTTAATAAAAAATATATTAATTATTAAAAAAAATAGAGTCAGGACGGGGTTAGGACATGCATTTCCTATTCTTTGGGTAGGGACCTGACCCTAGGGAATTTGTTACCCCGAATGTAGAGACACGAAATACAAGTTTAGACAGACGGAAATAAACTTTTTAAAGATAAATTTTGGAGAGAGAAAATTTAAAGATAAAAAGAGACAAATTTTAAAAGAAAAAAGTTAAAGTTGAGAGGAAAAGATACGTTAAAGAAAAAAGAAAATTAAAAAGAAAAAGGAAAATTATAGAAAAAAAATTTAAAGATAAAAACAAGATCCAAAATATACTTTTTAGAGAAAATAAATAAATAAAAAGATAAGGAAAAGTTATAGTGAAAGATAATTGATTGAGAAAATAAGATATAATTTTCAAAGAAAAAATAGATTAAGAAGAAAAAGAAAAGTTAAATTGTTGAGAGAGAAAAAGATCAAGAAAATATTAACTTTTTAGAGACAGAAATGACAATAATCCGTTAGAAAAAAAAATAAAGATACATAAAGATGAAAATTTTGGAGAAAAATATTAATAAATATTTAAAATATAAAAATCTTAGTGAGAGAAAAATAAATTTAGTAGAGAGAAATTTATGATGAAAAAATTTTAGAATGAGAAAGAATTTTGTTAGAGATAAATAGAGAAAGAAAAAATGGTTTTTAGTTTTTTAAAAATAAGGTTGAATATTAAAAGGAAAAATTAAATTTTGAAAAACAAAAATCATTTTTTGGAAACTACTTTATTTATATTTTTTTTTTTGGAAATTTACGTAGGATTTCAAAATGGTTTTGAAGAATAAAAAGAGAAAATTGAATTAGTTTTCAAACAACTTTATTTTTAAAAAAACTAAAAACCAAAAACAGAAAACAAAATGGTTATCAAACGGACCCAATACTTAAAACAAGTGTTAGCTTATCCCCGCTCATCGCATAGTTTCTTGCAATTCTTGAACGGATTCGATTTGCAAGGTTTCTCTATATTGTCCTTATTTAATAGTCATATGTTAATAGAATAATAATTAAGTACCCGTTTGATAACCATTTTTGTTTTTTGTTTTTGTTTTTTCTTGTTTTTAGTTTTTGGTTTTTGGTTTTCTGTTTTTAAAAAACAAAAATCATATATGTTTCCTAACCATTTTTTGTTTTTTTGTTAAAAAAAAAACAGAAAACCAAAACATGTTCGGTAACCATTTTTAGTTTTTAGTTTTTAAAAAGTTTGAAAATTGAAAATACATATTTGAGAGAGAAAATTGTATGTAGAATAGAGATGACATGGTGTAGGTGCGAGTGAGGATGCTCTCCCCCATTCTCGTACCCGTGGAAATTTTTAGTCTTCGTCTCCACCTTGTTCTTTGGTTTGAGAGATGTTCTCGAGAAAAATTATTGGTTTTATAATTGTTTATAATTATTTTTAGAATTTAAGTATAAGAAAAGTGTAATAAATATATATTAATTATTTAAAAAATGGAATCGAGGACGGGGACAGGGTCGGGACATACATTTCCTATTTTTGGGACCCAACCTTACGGAAATTTTTGTCATCCCCCTAATGTACAGACATGAAAATACAAGTTTAGAGAGATGTAAATAAACTTTTGGAAGATAAATTTTAGAAAGATAAATAAAAAGATTTAGAAAAAAAAAATAGTGAAACAAAAGTTAAAGAGAAAAAGAGAAAAATTTTAGAGAAAAAAAGTAAGGTTGAGAGAAAAATATATATTAAAGAAAAAAAATTATAAAGAAAGAGAAAAATTATAGTGGAAACAAATTTATAGATAAAAATAAGATTCAAAATATAATTTTTTAGAGAAAATAAATAAATACAGAGATAAGTAAAAGTTACCGTGAAATAAAATTGAACGAGAAAATAAGATATAATTTTCAAAGGAAAAATAGATTACGAAGAGAAATAAAAGTTATAAAAAGACGAAATTTTAGAGAGAAAAAAGTTAGGAAAAATATTAAATTTTTAGAGAGAGAAATGAACTTAGAAAAAAAATAAAAATACATAAAAATTTGGAGAGACACAAATAATAATAAATATTAAAAATATGAAAATTTTAGAGAGACAACAATAAAGTTTATAGAGATAAATTTAGAAATAAAAAAAATTTTAGAGTGAGAAATAAATTTTTTAGAGATAAATATGAGAAAGAAAAAAAATTGTATTATAAGAAAAAATCAGATTTTGAAGAACAAGGAGTTCTTCGTTCCAAATGTGGACGAGGTGCATTCCACTCTCAGATCTGAAACACGACAAGGCTAAAGAGTGTTATGTGTCATGCTTATTTAAGGTCAATTGAGGTTGAGAACGTGTGCACATGGATATAATTTAGTGAAAACGGGCATACTCTGTGTTTGAAGACTCAAGCACTTCAACTCAGGTGAATACAAGTAAAATGATGCAAATATGTTTGCTTTGTAGGACAAAAACAAGGAATGTTGATCAAATGTGTTAGGCGCATAAAACTCCCAAAGCCCCAACTTATTGACCAAATGCGCCAGCCACATTTTGTTGAGATTTCATGCTGCACCTAAATGTGCCAAATACATTTCTTGCCCAGATCGACAAAATGTGTGTTTTAACTTATTTTGATCAAGCATTCTGTGAAAATCAAATGTCCACACCATTCTTCCTGAGATCACGCAAGAGGAAGTCAAGTTTTGTTGGTTCATGATATTTTCTAACTTCTCAACTTATTTCTAAGAAAAAGGAGCCTCCAGGTTTATAAATACAAGTCTCCAAGAAGAGATGAAGGCACTTCTAGCTTTTGAGCTTTCTTCTCAAGTTTTTGTCAACTTTAGTTATTTTTACAGCATTGAAGCTTTGTTTAGTTCCTTAGTTATTTTCGTAATTGTTCATTGTTTCTTTTAAAGCAAATTGACTTATTCTATTTCTAATCTTGTACTTTTTTTCCAAGTTTAATGAAAATGATTTCTTTTGTAATTTTCTCTTATGATTTCGTTTTCTCGATGTCTGATAACTCTCCAAAATAGAGTTATTCTAGTATATATTTGGGCGTTTTTATGCAAAGAAATGTCAAAGTGTGTCGGTTTTGGTTCTTAAATAGCCTAGATGAGATTAGAAAATGGAATCCAAGCTAAAAGCCCTAGGTCTTGAATGCCGTAACTAAATATTGCACTAAATGCTCTTATTTCTGATATAATTGCACAGGTTTGGAAGCAGAAGACTAAACATAAAGAGAGTGCTAAATCCAGAAAGAGTGAGCAAGGCATCTTCAAGGCAGAGTAGATAAAATCTGGAGCGGAGCAGAGCTGGAGCATGGATTCACTGCACAGTAACAGCCTAGACAAAGGTTTTACCGTGTCCGTACAAATTTCAGCTGGGTGCCCTAAAAACGGAACCCGATATAAAAAGGACATTTAACCCTAGTAGGCACACACAGATCCCAATAGAAGCTCGTTTTTTAGAGTTGAAACGACAAGGAAGAGGATTCTCTCCATTTTCGAGGTCAGAAAGCTTACGACAGAAGGGATATTCCACTACAGTTTTGAGCTGTCATCTTTTTCTTCTTCGATCTTCTGCTATTTCCTTAAGATGAGTTGTCTTCTTCTTTTACCCATTGTATTTTCTTCTTCATTTATAAGCTAAACCTCATTTTGGGGGAGATTCACATGTTGTAACTACTATGAAACTGAATCTCTAGCTGCTATATTCGTTCTTTAATGTAGCTGTGTTTATTTCTTATATCTTATTGAGCATTGTTGGCCGCTTTGTTCTGTATGCTAGCTTTTGTATTGACCCGAGAGGGTTTACAGTTTGCTGAGTTGCTTCATTAGTGATTAGTACTTTTTTATAGTATTTGTGGATTCTCAGGAATGGGGTCCCCTAATCATGCCTAGAACTTGTTTTTATTGTTTGGAAACTTAGCAACGGGAGTTGTGAGTATCCTTGTTTGGGTGATTCGGGAGGGAACCAAGTCGAGTTGTGCATTAATGAATATTTATAAGCTAGAGGGTAGGTTGAGAGGTTTGTGAATGCATGTTGAATCTCCCTCACTTTTCCATATCTGTTAACTTCCCGTTTCGCAATCTGTGCTATTTCTT